TCCTTCAATCTAGTTTTATTTAGCCTTGTCTTATTAATCCTAACAAGATGTGAAATTAATTGTAATGTACATGATTTGATAGGCAAAGCCAGAGACCGTGGAGAGAGTTATTAAGATTGTGAGGAAACAACTGGCTTTAACTCCTGAGACTGAGCTCACCAACGAATCCAAGTTCGCTGCACTTGGTGCTGACTCTCTTGACACAGTAAGCCATTTTTTGGCTAGCTACTGTTAGGTTCAGTGGTGTCGATTCATTTCATCAAAGCCATTCAAGAATTTACTGCTTAATTACTACTTAATTAAGCAATTGAAAGTGAGGTGCGATCTTGTAATGTTATTGCAGGTGGAGATAGTAATGGCATTGGAAGAAGAATTTGACATTAATGTAGAAGAGGAGAGTTCTCAGAACATAACAACAGTCCGAGAAGCAGCTGACATGATTGATATACTAGTTCAAAAGAAAGCTGAAGGTGGAAGCTGAGCCCAGGAATCAGTATATTAGTTTGGCGGGTTTGATCTTGTTAGGATTTTGTTGATTAATTTCTATGCCTGGTTAAATTTCCAATTTTCTTGCTTGTTGCAAGGTAGTGAAAGAGTATGTTAAGTTTCGCCATGTCATATTTTTGTGATGCAAACACATGTTTTGGTGCTTGACAGAGTAGGTGTGATCGCTACAGAACAAGGGTGTGTTTTGAAATGTAATGCAAGTTATGTTTTTATAAAAAAATATTTTTTTTATTTAAAATAATATATATATTCGTGATATGTTAATATTAAAAATAATTTTTTTAAAAAATATATTTTTTAATATATTTTTAAATCATTACTACTACTTCAACTTTAAACAAATTTAAAATTTTAGACCAATGATCAGTAATGAGTTTTTCTTGAACCGCGTGATGGGTAATTCAATTATTTGGATATGAGAATTGACTTGGAAAGACATGAGTTGTTTATTTAAAATTTTAGACTAATGACAAATGAGTTTTTTTTAGCCATGAGCAATTCAATTATTTGGACATGGGAATTGACTTGGAAAGACATGGGTTGTTTGAGTCATCATATTATATTATTTTAAAAAAAAAAAATTCTTGATATTAACAAGATTAAGTCTGTATTTTATTAAATGGAGTTAACTAAATTTATTCCAGGTTATACTTTTAAATCTTTAATTTCTCAAATTAACTCAGGCATAGTATAGAGTTTAATGTTTTGTTTGCAATTAATCTACAGATCCATATTTGCAATCTGCATGCTAGATGGACTTGCCGCCGTCCAATTCCTCTCTTCTCCCATGATTGCAAGCTCAAATAGCATTTTGACACAGGAAGAAGTTCGTTTTGTGTATGTTAGACTATAATTTTTTTTAAAAATTAATGTGAATATCTATATCAGTTTGTATATATTATGATTATTAATTTTATATTATTAATTTTATAAATTTAAAATTAATAATCATGTAAATCTTCAATAATAATAATAATAAGTTGAATAATAAGTTGAAGTTGAAATTATATAAAGAATAAACTTTTTAATTCTAAGTTTTTATCGTGTGCGAGCACCGGACATATTAGGCTATAATTAAGTAATCAATTACTGGATTGGTGATGACAAGGGGACAATGCGGTGTCGGTGAAATATTAATGATTATAAGGAGTGAATAATAAATTACACTTGGAGCCAGAAATAAGGAGTTGTTCAGTGTTGTTTTCAAGGCTTTTTTACTATTTTTATTCCTCGAACAAAAAGATGCGCCGCCGTGATACGTTAACCGAGGTTGTCACACGTATGTTTTAAGCAAATTTTACTAGTCAGATAGCCATTTTGTTAGCCCAGCAAGTGTTTTCATCAGGCAAACCAGGCACGTTATTTTCTTGGTTCACCCAACTATACTTGCCACTGCGAACAAAAATTAAAAAAAAAATTCAAGAAAAAAAATAAATCCAACAGTCCGTAGGAGAGTGTCTTTGGGGTGAGGTGTAGTAAGGTGTTATTGAGTTTCCTTTTAGGTGTAATTCCTTAGAACATAAACTACACCTCCCTCGTTATAAGCTCAAGATATATGTTTTTTTTTTGTCCCCCTACCAAAAACCTTAACCACACCTCACCCCACCTCAATCTTAAATATATTTTTAATTAAAAAGCTTGATCTACAACTAATTTAATATTAATTATAAAAATAAAAAAAAATCAAAACAACAATAATCAAATTTGATAAGATAAAGAAAGATAAAATCACAAAAATAACTTAATTTTAAAATTTATTTCAAATAAAATAAATAACAATAAAAAAAATAATACATATAAAAAAATTAAAAAAATATATAAATTTGATAAGTTATTTCAAATCATCAGAGGTCCCTTATCCATATACATTATCGTATAATGAAGGGGTTGCCGTGACGATTCTAATATCTTCACAAAAATCGATATTTAAGCATTAAATGGCATTGCACTTATTGCTTAAAGGCTAGGAGATTGCTTACATGCTAACAATTTTTTTTAATAATATTTATATTTATTGAATTACTAAACAACCCTTGTAATTTGAATATGACAAAAACCTATAAGAAAATGATAAAAATGCTCTTTTGCATCAATTTTAATTTTATTTTATTTTAATATCAAATATTTTTTTTATTGTTCTAAAAATATAAAAACAATTTTACTTCATTAGTTACGACATTAGGTATTTTGTAAAGAATAAAAAATATATATATTATTTTAATTTACAATGATTTATGTTTTGAAACACATTGCATCTCCGAGCTTTTTTTTAATTTTAATAATAATTAGTCGAGCTAGTTTGATATTGCATCAACAGTTGTAAGTATTTGTTACTTATAAATATATTAAAATAATTTTTTTATTTTAATATTAGCATATCAAAAAAATATCCATTTAAAGCAAAGAAAAAAAATATAAAATTTAAATTTTTTAAAAAATAATTTTAAAATACAAAAACAAATAAATTCAGAATTCATTTAATATTATAGGATATATATATATATATATATGTTAAATTCACATTTAATATCAATATATTAAAATAATCTAAAAATATAAAAAATAATTTAAAATGAATAAAAAACTAAAATAAATTTAAATTTTTTGAAAAATATTTTTGCGCAAAAATAAAGTGGTAGAAGAGCTACTTGTAGCTATCAACTTGGACATGACAAGTGTTGAAAAACTACACGGGCTGGTGTTGCAACGGCTACTGCTTGTGTAGTGAGTTAAAAAGAAGCACGCTAAATTGACAAGCCACTGCTTGTCATGTCACAGGATTTTAAAATTGACAACAAAGCTTGAATGTGCATACAGGACAGACATGTTACTGTTTGAAAATATTAAATTTAAAATTTTCAAAATATTCTTTTATTAAAATATATTAAAATAATTTTTTTATTTTAATATTAGCATATCAAAAAAATATCCATTTAAAGCAAAGAAAAAAAATATAAAATTTAAATTTTTTAAAAACACGAATATAATCACAAACACTTTTATAAAACATAATCTAAATAGGTTACGGATTAGAAAAATTATCTAATTTATTTTAAAAAATAAAATAATATTATTTCAGTAAGATTTAAAAAAAAATATTTCAATAATTAAACTTTAAAGACTAGATTTTACCCCGGTGGCGATGATATATGTTTTTTTATACTTTTTTTCAACCTGGAGCCAATCCAGCTCCCAGGTAAAACCACCGGACCAAACTAGATTCTAGGTTTGATAACTTTGGCATATAGTTAAAGGTAAAAATTGTACATGGACAAGCTCGCATGGCTCCATGCATTTGTCCTTTATGGATTGGACTTTCCCTTTCTATGAAAAAGATGATCATATAAGAAAATTTACTGCGCTGCCAAAACATACGTGTCCGAAACCCGTTGACAGATCATCGAGATCCTAGAGAGCAAAAATATCGGACACGTCACCCACACTCTTTCTTTTCAACAGATATTTAAGGATCGCAGCTCGAACAAAAATATTTAGTTTTTCTAGCTTTAAAGTAATTTTTTATATTTTTAAATTACTTAACATGTTAATATTTAAAATAAAAAATATTATTTTAATATATCTTAAAATAAAAAAAATATTTTTAAAAATAATATATACCACAGTGCAGCAACCACATATGGATTTGGGTCCCACCATTTTCCACTCCCGAATTGTCTCGCGCGAAACTCGAATGAGGGTCAACCCGCTTCAAACGGCAGGTCGTTTAGGCCCCATATGGTACAGCTATATCCTAGTTGTATATGTATTTCAAATGGGTCATCAAGTTTTCGTATTAATTACAATTACCCCTCGATTAGAAGATGCTACTCAATATCATCCCTAATCGAAGGTAATCTCATCTCTTGTGCCTAATTGTGTCCATGCCTGTTATACCGATGATGAGCATAAAAAATTATAATTCAAATGCAAGTGGCATGGACACCTAGTCATTCATATATTTAGTTTAGAAAATATTTTTCAATGCTAAATAATTGTCAGATATATAAACCTGATATTTTATATAAATTAAAGTAGATTTAAATGCATGGAAAATACTCAATGTAAAATTATTAGTTTCTTTTAATAAATATAAAAATTAAATGTGAATCTAATAAAGAAACTTAATAAAATCTCTTTAGTTTTCAACAGATATTTACTTTTTTTGTTTTTAAAATGTCTTTGTTAAGAATAATGGCTCAATAAATTCTTATATGATGGGGGCATTTCTCTAATTTATTTTTATATTTCTAATTAGCACAAATTTACTCTTGAATATTTATTAAATTCTAATCTATCACTCTGGTAAAATTATTAAGTTAATTAATCGGAATTAATCAGATGACTTATGCACGACATAGAAACTTAACTAAAATCCGAAAAAAAAAAGAGGATTTTCTCAGTTTTGAATAGATGCTCCAATTGGGATCTTTTGATAGTCGAGACACTGATTTGTAGTTTTCATTTTTTTAAAACCGACAATATTTCATTTTCAATTTCAAGCTTCAACTGCTATGAGATTCAGCTCATAATTCTTCAACCGCCTCCTCTCTCTCTCTTTCCTTCCCTCGATTTCCTCGACAAAAATCCAGCTCTCTCAAAATCCTCGCTTCCCTAACACACACGAAAAACACGTACATTTATACACATACGAACACGTATCAATACAAAATATATTTAAAAACCTTTCCGCGCAAATGGATCGGAGGAGGGCGGGGAGTCCGGTGTATGCGAGACAGTGGAGCAACGAATCACGTGGTTCAAACAGTACGGGCTCGTCATCTCCCGCGCCGATGTCACCGGCGCACCCGAACTCACGTCTAAGCTCAAACATGTCAACAATCAAGCGCACACAAAACGTGGCCGCCAAGGCTGCTGCCCAACGGCTGGCTCAGGTGATGGCGTCATCGCAGACTGCAGATGACGACGATGACGAAGACGATCTAGATTTCCGATTTCCTGCTCGACCGGCTCCGGTTCCTGCTTCGTCGGGGTTTATTAGTGTTAATCATAGAGGGAGTTCTAATGGTGTTTCGGTTACTAGACCTAATAGATCTCCGTCTCCTGCGGTAATTTTTAGTGTGAAGTGGCTTATACGATGCGTTTCAAAATTTAAATGAATAATTCGATTCTATAGTGTTTATGAGAACTAGTGCTGGTAGTAGTTGCTATATTGATGTACAGATCTCTGCTTGCAGTGGCAATTTCGATATTTAATGCTTTCATATGGATAATTATGTGTCAGTTACATTGATTTTCAATTTAGATATCTGGTTCCAATTCTGTTGAAGTCGAGTTTGGAAATTCAATTTTTTTTTGGGGGTTATTTTTGTGTGTGTGTGTGTTAGGGTTTGACTGGATCCAGGCTAATTGCAGATTTGGTATTTTTAATTAGTTAGGTCGGAACTTTATGGAGAATGTGCCATCACTTCGGTCTACATCGGCTGGAAGGCCATCAATGTCAGTTCGTCCAGCTACAGTGGTGCCACCTAGCAAACAATCACTAAGAACTCCCGTTTCTATTCCTCCTATCGACCCTCCATCCAGTAGGAATAGAGATAATAAGAGGTTTGGCTCTTGTCGTAATCTCCTTTTTTTTTCCCTTTCTTTTTGGCGCTTTTAAGCTTTTGGAAGTGAATGTGGTTTGTGGTGTCGATAGCTATTGGCTTAGCTTTTAATATATTTTGGTCTAAATCTTTTATTTTATTTTTGTGGAGTGTATGGATTTACAAGATGAAGAGCTTACTTGTATTTAAGTTCATCCATTCATCAATTGGCAACTTGAGTGTATACTTCTACTTGTTTGCATCCTATCGATGCTTTGTGTTTAATTATTTGAATATTCTTGTTGCCATTTACTGCAGGTTCACATCAGATGCGGGACAACTTAAATTGGCTGACTCAGGTGATCAGCGTGAAGCTTCAGCGCTTCGTGATGAAGTATGTCATTCTTACCAATCGTTAATAGTAGACATGCAATTACTTGTATTTACTGAAGATAGCTATAAATTGGTTGAACCAAGTTGCTTTGAGCTTTGAAGCTAAAACCAGCTAAATTTTACAGCTTGATATGCTGCAAGAAGAAAATGAAGCTATACTTCACAAGGTGTGTGATCCCTCAAGAAAAATTAAAATTTTAGTTAGCCTTGTCCTGTGATGTTTAACATTTATACCTGAGCTTTCTGTGCAGCTTCGTAGTGCTGAAGAAAAACGTGAGGAGGCAGAGGCTAGAGCCAGGGAGCTTGAGAAACAGGTAAGTCATATCATTTAGTCATTGGTTTGGTTTTCCTATTTGTAATTTCTCTTCTTCAGTATGTTGACTTTGATATATGAAGCAAAGCAGCCTTGGTCTCTTATCTGTGTCAAGCATATTTTCTTGCTTTTCTTTTTCTTAATCATTGTATGAAATTGTTTATATGCTTGGTAGAGTAGATACAAAGACAGTATCCTCTTTTAGTACTCTTCCTTTAATGGGAAAAAGGAAAAAGTAACTGGCTCTAAAGTACATAGGGATGTTTGAAGTATACCTAGACAAAGAGCTCTGAAATAAACCATATTGAGTGCCGGTCCGGTTTGATGAGTTACTAGGGTACTAGTCAGCAAGCCAACCAATTTTCTTTCTGTTCTGTAATTGACAAGCTAATATACTAACATGTCATAGCTGGTGCTGGTTACTTATAAGAAGTCTAGAATATGTTTCAGGGATTGTCGATAAAGCATGGATATACTATTTCAGATGCAATGTGGATAGGGTTTACCTGGGGGAACTAGTGCCTCTCAGCTTTTAGGAAACATATCTCAACATTTCAAATCTCATATGCAGATACATTTGACTATGGTTATTTGCCTATATTTCCTTTTTCCTCATGTCGGACACTTTTATTCATCATGTAACTGATGGGAAACATCACATATTGCTTTCTCCAAACATGTAACTAAGTGTTTCAAGATTAACATGATTTCTATCTAGCAAATCCAGTTGTCTATTCGTACATGACTCACCATATGGTCATTTATGAGGGTATATTGTTGACCTGATTGCCATTTTCATCTCATAGTTGGCCTCTATGTTAATTGCCATAATTTCTGTTAAGGTTATTTATGAGGGTTATTTTTTCCTATGTTCTCAAGTTCACTATATGTTACACTGTCAAACAAGCCTCAGCATATCTGGAATACACTATTTGATCCACTTGGATTATAGTACATGCTTTAAATTAGTTAGAAATTATAGCTCAATTCAGTTTAGTGGCCAAAGCACTCAGAGTTTTTCTGCATGGTTGTACTTTCAACAATGATTTACAGATCTTATTTCCATTTCCAATTCTCTATTAATAGGTTGCTGCTCTTGGAGAGGGTGTATCCCTTGAAGCTAAACTGTTGAGTCGGTAAGTATGGTTAGTTTTGTACGTGCCATGGTTCATTTGATTTCCAGGTTCTTAATTCTATTCCTTTTTTATTAAATATTATATACATATATATGTAGGAAGGAAGCAGCATTGCGTCAAAGAGAGGTGAGTTTGGGGACTATGTGCCAGTGGAGCATATATGAATTTGAGAGTAGAGTAGTCTGTAACTTTTTATTTCTCATGTTCTCCTGGAACATAAACTTGTCAGTCCATTACTTGAGCTTTTTTTATTACTTATTTTCTCTATTTTGGCTAACAGTATCAATTAAATGTGCTTATTTTTAAGTGCTCTCTGCCTTTTCTTTCTTTATTTTTTTTTTTAAGGGTGCTGACTCTAATTCTTTTAACAGTTCTTGTTACAGTACTGAAAACTTTCTTGTCACAGGCTGCTCTTAAAGCTGCAAAACAATCTACAGATGGTAGAGATGCAGAAATCGCAACCCTTCGTACAGAACTTGAGGTGCGATATGCTAATTCTGCCAAGTTGGTGTTTATTCTCATTAGTTACCTTGAGATGTCAAGCCTTACCTCATTTTTCAAACCAGAGCTTGAAAGATGACACTGCAACAGCTGCGGAGCAGCTGCGAGAAGCTGAATCTGAAACAAAAGCTCTTCGCATGATGACACAAAGAATGATTTTGTCCCAGGAAGAGATGGTGTGTGCATTAAATTGAACTTGAGGTTTATATTTAGCCTTATAGCTGTTAACTGTTTTCTGCCCATATCTTTCAGGAGGAGGTTGTCCTGAAGAGATGTTGGCTTGCACGCTACTGGGGTTTAGCTGTCCAGCATGGTAATCAACTCAAATATGATCTTTCCTGCTTGGGGAAAAATGGTTACATGCTTTGAATTGCTTGTCTTTGTTTGAAGGGGCATATAGAGACTGAGGCATGAAGCCCAGCTAGCTTGTTAGATATGCTAGTGCACTTTGATGGGTTTCAACTTTTGATCTATATTGGATAGCCGTCATAGAAGACCTTTTTTAAACCTTTCTTTGTTAATGGATCGTGGTTGTCATCTCTCTATTGTCCATGTTCGACGAGGCGTGTGCACAGGTCAGGTCAGGTTTGACTGTATTTTGTATCCAACCTGACTTTTAATTTCTCCAACATTCTAACACGTACAAAACACAAACCGTTCAGATGAGGCTGGTTGGATTGCTTTTTTACAGATAATGTTGATAACCACAGGTTAGGTGGGACTAAGGGAACTTTAATGAGTAGTTTCCCCATGGCCAAAGCGTAAAAAATTCAGACACCACACTCACTGTCATACTTGAATTTGACAAGACCATGATGATAGATTGGATCTAGCTTCACGTCCCCTTTTGTGTGTGTGTGTGTGACAAATTGGATTGAACTTCTAAGGTTAGAGTTATCACTGCCACCAAAGATCCACAGCCGACTGATATCCTTCAAAGAGGTTTAGGAATTTTGTGGTTCTGATTTTTCAGGATGTAGAAGTTTTAGGATTAAAGGAGGAGAGAAGGTAATTTGTTTTTGATAAGTGCAGGTGGCTGAAGCAGGGTAGCAAAGAGGGTAAATAAAATTATGTATCTATAAGAGGGTTAGTTACGTGGAAACTCATAATTTTAACTTTACCCTAAGGTGGCGCCATAAGAAATACATGGTTGCAATACATGCGGGTTGGGTCAGGTTTGGCAGTTTTCCAAAACTCTGATGCACAACCTGACCCGCTCAATCCATTTTCTAGCTCTTTAGATCCAATTCTATTTGATATATCTGGAAACCCAACTTTTGTGGGTTGGTCACGTTAGATGATGTAGATGGTTTCAATAATTTGACCATGCCTAATGTACATTATGTTGTTTTGGGTCTATTGGCTATTCATATGTGATCTTCCAATGACAGACTTATTATTCTCGCAAGGGTCATGTTTTGTATCCATGGCAGACTCATTGCATCTCTTCATTCTTCGGGCTGGGCTACAAAAAACATTTAACAGTATTGTTGCATAGACATCCACAAGCTTTGAACCGAGTCCTTTGGCTACTGCTAAACTGCCTCTTGTTCTGTTTCTTTCATTTCTTCAGGGATTTGTGCAAATATAGCAGAGTCAAAGCACGAGCATTGGTCTGCTCTAGCTCCTCTTCCATTCGAAGTTGTCATTTCTGCTGGACAAAGGGCTAAGGAGGAGTTGGATAGAGGCTAGTTTGATGATTTCTTATTAGCATATTTCCTATTTTTGTTTCTTTGTTTATTTTTCTCCATCATTTACCATTAATTAGTCTTATAATCTATAATGTTGTATAAATGAAACAGGTGGTGGTGATCCAGATAGGCATAAAGTAGTTCGTGATTTGAGTGACCTTACTGGAGAGGGAAATATTGAAAGTATGCTTTCAGTTGAAATGGGATTGCGGGAATTAGCTTCTTTAAAGGTCTTACTTTTTAAAAAGATATATTTTAACCTCATGGGTTTTTTTGTCAGTTGACAAGGATTTCAAGAATCGCTTGTAATGATTTCTCATACTGTTATGCACTTTTGTAATAACTTTTATGTACCAAATGCATAGTTTTGCTTGTTGAGTCATTCATGAACCTTATTGTTGGTTATTTTAGTTTCATTTTCATTGATGTGCATATTTGGCACTTGCTTCTTCTTTTTTATTCAGTTGACATTGATTTTAAGAATTGCTTATAGTGATATCTTTTACAGTCATTTACTTTTAATACCATGCAATTTATTGATTTTTTTTTTATTCTGATACTGTCCCACCTCACCCTGTTATAAGGTTGAGGATGCAGTTGTACTTGCTCTGGCTCAACACAGACGACCAAATATGGTTCGACAATCGTTCTCAGGTAACTTACCTCTGTTATTTATAAGTTATTTTTCCACTCAACAAATGTGTTGGTTGAATTTCTTTACTAATGATGTGGTATAGCATTTTAATGGTGCTTTTCCTTCTTTTGTCATATGAATTTTTGTAGCCTACTGTTTAGAATCTTTTTGATGAGTGTTATGGTAGTTTGATATGCATGCTAAGATCTGGTATCCAATAAAAGTTGTTCTGGGTTTGCTGAAAATTTTTACTCATACTAGATCAAGTTTTTGGATGTTTATCTGTTAATGTATGTTACCTTTTGAAGCAACTCTTACAAAAGAAAACATGATAACCTGGCATTTATCTTTTCCTCTTTTGTTTTTTTTTTTTTTTCCTGGTTTTCAGATTCGAGACCACCAGGTGATCCCAAGTTTACTGAGGCCAATGGTGAGAGGTGTAACTTATCTGTCATCAAGTTATGTTTCATGAAATAAAATTATCGAGCCCTGTCCCTTGTTTTAACTGCAGAATTAAGTAAAGCAGAGGCAGAAGATGTTCATTTCAAAGAGGTCAGCAGCTGTTGTACTTGACTTATTATTTGTTGTCACTGTTTTTTCATTTTAAGATTCCAGTCTTGCTACAGGACTTTGTTACAATACAAAGCCACTATTTTTATTTTTATTTTCATCTGTGATCATGTGCATAGAGTGGAAAGAAGACTTCCCTTCTCCTGTATACCTTACCTGATCATTCTTTTTTTCAAGGATCTTATCTTCTAGGTCTAGTCTAGCATTGCAAAGGCTTTGTAGGTCCACATTCTGTGATCATGTGCATTGAGAAGAAAGAAGACTTTCCATCTCCCTTATACCTTACCCTGTGATTCTTTCTCATCATCTCATCATCTAGGTCTAGTCTATCAATGCAAAGCCTTTGTAGATCCACATGCATGAGGAGGTTTGTATTGTACTTTTATTAGTTCTGAGAAATTATTTCAAGCTAGAGTCCTAGACCTCACATTATCCATGTATTTATGTCTTCCAACTGTTAAAGCATCGAAACATGAAAGTTTACACTAAGCGTAATAGCGTGTAGGTTTTGAGGTAAGGGAATGGAATGGAAATGAGAGTAATGGAAAGGAAACTAACCCAATTTCCTTTGTTTGGATCCTAAAATTAGTAACGGAAAAGAAAGGAAGGGGGAAAATTAAATCTCTAAATTTCCTTTTGGTTTGCAAAAACCTTTCTCCCAAATTGGGTGGAATGCAAGGGAAATTTAAAAAAAAAAAATGACACAATTTTCCCCAAAATATCCTCCTAGAAGAACACTCTAGTTGAACATCTTCAACTCTTTTTGTGTAAGGATGATTTAGTAAAAAAGAAATAATGTCACTTGTTTTCTTTTCTTTTCCATGTACATCCAAACAATGAAAACTTAGTTCCCCCCACCTTCATTGAACCAAACAAAAGAAATTTAATTTCACTTCTTTTCCTCTCTTTATTTCCCCCTGTTGTCCCTAACATCTTTAGATTGCCACACTGTGAATGAATTTCACCTAAATACGATTTACTTTACAACAACCACAGACAACAACCTCAGACTGGTGTTAAAAGTTGGGATAACAATAACCACAATAATACTGACAAAACAGTGCTATGCTTTCCGGTCCTCCTCTTCTATATAGCCATCCAAAACTTTCAACATAACCTATTTGGATACTGAACATTAACCTTTTGGCATCAGCCCTTTCTAGATGTGCTTCCCTACATTTTAACTTTCTATCTGCTCTGCCATGCATAGGGTTAACTAATAAGTTATGGTCTGGGGAACACCTGAAGTTGATAACCATCTAAATCAGACAACCTAAATCTGATCTCTCTCAAGTCTTGTTTGTTCCTCATGATTTCATTTCATGAAAGGCTACCTTGTTTGTCTGTTCTGGACTTCTTTAATATTATGTTCTCACATTACTGAAATGAGTGAGTTTGCAAATATATGTTTTGTGACAGTTGTTAGTACCAGAATTTATGTATATTTTGATTAAAAAATGCTTCAATTTGTTATGTGCAGGCTTGGCTAACTTATTATTGGAGAAGAGCCTTAGTACATGGTGTGGAAGAAGATATTGCAGAAGACAGGCTTCAGTTTTGGATTAGTCGTAGTGGGCAGTCACTGACTTCACATGATGCTGTGGATGGTAATTTATATGCTTTTATAACAATATATTGCAAAAATTATAGTAAACAGGCACCAATTATCCGCCTCTCTCTCTCTCTCCCCCCTAATGCTATGTTTAGCTATTTATGGTCCCAGGTATAATTTGCAAAATCCTATTTAAAAATTCTTGTGGTCTATCGAGGACAATTTATTGTCTAGGTTGATGTGCATGCTTTGTTTTTTTTTTTTTTTTTGTGCTTCAATCTCATTTAAAGAAGGAATGTTGATGGAGATAAACTAAAATAAAAATGCTTTACACAATACATGCGGTCACTTGAGTTGGTAACTTATGGGTATTTCAGATCCAATATTTATCAGGCCAGCTAGGTCCAGTATTACTCATTGTTCAAATAGTCAGTCATAAACTCTCACCACCATGCTGAATGGCTTGGAAATCCTCATGTTAATGGCTTTTATGAAATTTCAAAATGATTGAAATAATACATGTGGTCATGAAGACATCTTATGTTGGCAGACTTGGTAGTGCAATCCTTTTTACATTTTGCCTCGATAGATGCATGTGCTGTTCTTGATGTTTTCAATTGGTGTCCTTGATGCAGTTGAGCGAGGCGTATTGGAACTAAGGAAGCTGAGCATAGAGCAACAACTATGGGAAGCATCTCGGAGAGAAATTGATCATTCTTCTTTGGCCCCAGGTGCTAACCATAAACACACCGATGAGCTCTCTTCATAATGTTCGCAAGTTTAAATAGCTACATTCTTTCCATCCATTTTTCCTTGTAAGTTATGTCAATTTTATGCATGTAAATTTCCTTTTTATATATGTTTTTCCCCTCCACAGTCAATTACCGTTATAATTCCCCTTTGAACCTGTACACAACCTGAAATTAGGCTTTTTGTCTATACGATACTCAGATTGGATGTGAGAGTCAAGTACGTGGATCTACTGGTTCCTTCACAACTTAAATTTTGTATTCATGCAATTCATATGGCCAAGGCAAAGACATTGGAAAATCTTTAGTATTACCATTCAAAAATTGTTCGGTACCCCGGTGCTTGGCTTTAATATTGCCCTGTGCCCCGGCACTTTGAGAGATTTGAGAATGTAGTAAGTAAATATCTTCGGATTTCATGAGACCTTTTCCCTTTACAGAGACATGGATCATGCCTGTGAGTGGAGTAATGGTAGAATCCCTGAAAACCATAGCCTGTGTTGCCCTGCTGAAACTTACCCCCTTGTGGGAATTTAGCATAGAGCAACAACTATGCTAGTGTGATATGGAGCAATAAATATGCTAGTGTGATATGGAGTAGGGTCCGATTGTACTGGGCTTCTTCTCTCTAATATTCAACTCAATTTTATTTTGGTTTTATTTTGTCCGGGAATATAGTTGTTTTTTAAAATATTTTTTATGTTAAAATTTATTGAAATAATATTTTTTTATTTTTTTAAAATTATTTTTGACATTTTCATATTAAAACAATTTAAAATATAAAAAAATATTTTTAATAAAAAAAATTTGAATTTTTTGAGAAATGTTTTTGCAAACAACTTAGCAGGTACAAAATCAGCAAATTCCAATGAGATAATCACTCAACTTTAATCGTCAACTTGCCATTATACATTATCAACTTTCAAATTCTTAGCTTTATGCAGGCTCTACATCCGGTCAATGCTGAGTTTACCTGCACTGGAGAAGCATATTAGACAGGCTATATCACGTTCTGTTTGGTATTATAGAGTTTGTCATCTATTCTTTAAGTATCATTTTTTAAAAACATGTTCCCTGTCAATTAAAAAATGATTTGGCATTAAAATTGCTTGCGAAGACTTTCAGTTTTCATGTCAACTAAAAGTCAAAACCTGGCCTAATGGTTCCCGTGAACAAGACGAGGGCAGAACAAAATCTTATGGGAGTCTTTTGGGATTGAGTTTTATCGTGTTTTTTTTAAAAAAAAATTAAGTATTTTTACTATATTTTCATGTGTTAATATTAAAAATAAATATTATTTTGATGTATTTATAAATAAAAAATATCTTAAAAATAATTTTTAATGGGAGTCAAACGTGGCATGTGTCATTTCATCCTTCAGCAGTAAAGGCAAGCAGACCTGAGTAAAATAAAGAGAAAAAGTTGATGAGCTTTTCTCCACCATGTAACATAAGGAAGGGGCCAAGTGAAGAAATGAAGGAAGGGAAAAGCGAACCTTTGCTTTCATTGCAAGAGTTCAAAGGCCAACACAAACCACCCTTCGCACTATCACATTTTCCAACTCCGATTCACCCAACCACCTCTCATTGTTTATGGGGAAAAGAGGTTTCAAAGTTGCCTTTCTTGTGGATCGCATCCACACCTTGCTTTTCTTCTACCCAACCACCTCTCATTGTTTATGGAGAAAAGGGGCTTCAAAGTTGCCTTTCTTGTGGATTACTTCCACACCTTTGTTTTTTTTTTCTTTTTTTTTTTGTAAATATGTACTCTTGGGATTTTTACTCTTTATCACTGAAATTGAAATCTTGTCTCAACCAAACACATTTGGCGATAGAATCTTAACATTATAATCCTGATGAGACTTTTAGTATTTCTTTTAGTTGGGAATGGTGAAGGAAAATCCATATAAATCAGTGACAGTGGGGCGAGTACTGGTAGAAATGATGATGCCTTGTTAAAATTCAGGACGTTGGGTCCATTCCTGAAACTGGAAAGCAACATGGCAATGCCAAAACATCATGCAAGGCATCGGATTTTGGCATGTTGCTGTTTGTTTGCAGGCCTGTTTATATCCCAAACGAGTTTCTTTTCTTTCCCCTCTCATCTCGAGTAGACACGCCCCACGCCCTATAGCTTTTCAAATAGTGGTCATCATAGATGATGGTATTCTTGTCCGTGATCTCTCAATGCCAGCCAGTCCCATCTTCCCCACGTTAGGGTTTTACATTTTCTTGTTTGTGTAGTTGTGATTAGTGAAAAAAAGCTACAGAAAGCATTGTTGTTTTGCCTGTCATTATAAGCAATCCATGACCAGCATTGACTCCACTTCTCTGTTGCCATTGTATGGGGCACATTACACTGGCAATTTGTTATTGAGATTTGGTCGGTAAACTCTTTTTTTTTGTTAATGCAAGTAAGAGAGTGAGGACCCATTAGAAGCTATAATGAGATGTTTTGCAGCTATGATGGGGAGCATGTGGTGTGGGTAGACCATTGTATTTAGGAAGAAGACTTTTCTTTAAAGAAAAGATGGAGACCTCATTAATACATTGTCCTAATCTTGTACAAGTACAAAAAGAAAGGAAAGACAGCTGACTGGATGGTGTATCATTAAGATATTCAAGATGAGGCATGCCAAATGGGTGGGTTATTATTTAGGTTAGGATTTTATTAATATTTTTTAATTAGTTTCATGTAAAAAAAAATTATAATTTTTGATAAGTTATTAAATTTTTTTGAAAATTTAGATGGAGCTTTCTAATATAATATTTTAGGGTTAAAATTTCAGAATTTTTAAAAATTTAGAAATTTGATGAAAAATTATAATTTGATCGGTTTTATATTATTGGGCATAATAATTTTCAATCTAATCAATAGATTGAACTGAAATTTTACGAGGAATTTTAAAATATATTAAATAAAATCTGATTAAAATTTTAGAATGAACAGAACTTGGTAGTGTTTTAAAAAAAAAGACTGTTAAATAAAAATAAAATGACTTATTAAAGGTAACATTATTATTTGTTATTAAAAAAAAGATAAATCAGCTTTTCTTTCTTTTTATATATTGTCGTCTAGGTAGAAGCAAAATAGAAAAAGAAAGAAAAGAAAAGGGGAGAGAAAGAAAAAAGTAAGGGAAAAACATAAAAAAATCTAAAGAAAAAATAAAAAAAATAAAAAAATAACTTTGTAAACTTATAAAGTCCAACTGTTAAAACACTAATATAAAAAAGAATTAAGTAAAACAATGAAGAATTGAGAGAGAGAAAAAATTCAATTACTTTATTTTTCAATTGACATGAGATGAGATTGTTATTTTATCCTGGTTGAAAGTTTGTTACAATATCAATTCATATTTAATTATGAATGGATTATATTTCATAAAATATCAAATGATATAATTTCAATAGTATGTTTATTTTTACTTTTATTTTAATTTTATGTAATTTTAAATTTATTTTTTAATATTTTAGATAATATATTTAATGTAAAACTTTACTACTAACTTTAAAAATTCATCTACATAAGTTAATAAAAAATTCATATATTGACTTAATAGCTAAAGATAGAAAAAATGCCTTGTTCCTTCAAGATAATCGGACTTTTTGGAAGAAAGACCATGTTACAGGCCTATGCCCATCTTCACAAATAGCTTTCATGAACTGGAATCCATGGATTTTTATTCCTGGCAATTAGATGAACCCAGAAAAATGGAAAATTCATGGTTTTCCGACAACAATTGGTTACCAAAACAGGATAATGCATGTGAACATTCCTAAAATTTTACTTGCTGCGGATTATCTCTGTTCCTTCGATCTCCAAGTCTTCTCAACATTAGAAAACTAGATAGTATTGTACTTGTAATTCAAGAAAGGTCGATCGATCAAGCCCTTTCTTGGAAGAACAAAACTGTGAAGGCTGCCATATTCTCTCTGGATTTTCTTGAGAAAGTAATGAATACTCTTCAGTTCCACGCATTTTCTGATAAAATGGAAGTGATCCTGGAAAGCCACTTTTTAAGGGAACATACCCTATCCTCTTACAATAGTATAGAAGGATACAAGGTATTTGTGGATGCCTACTTGCCTGGTCGGTATCGCACTCGTGAAAAGCCAAAACAAAACAAAATTAATAGAACTGTAATTTCTGAGAGAGAATTCAAGGATCCAATAGATAAAAGCAGTACAGATTCCATTCTCTCTTTTCCTTTTCAAAATGCCAGCCATATGTGCTGACTCAGCTCTAAAGTCTCAGCCTAGCAAGCACTGGCACAACTCTCTCTAGTTATTTGTGTACTTTCTCACACATCTCTTTCAAACACACCATTTTCAGGCCTGCAAGGAAAAAGCTAGAGATGTAATGATAATATAAAACAAGCCTAGTTATTTATTATTTAATGCCCTGCCCTCAACTCCATGTCCTCCACTGAGCAACATTTAAGCAGGCCTTTCTCTTGAATCACTTTATCTCAAGTCATTTTTCACTTTCTGAAAGTATGCACTCTCAAACTTGGAAAGCCATGGCAATGGCTGCACTAGTGGTTCAGCTGTGCACTTCCATGGGTGTAGAGTCTTCTTTACCTCATCCTGATAAGATTGCTGGGCTTCCTGGACAACCCCATGTGGGCTTTCAACAATTTTCAGGTTATGTTACTGTGGACGGTAACAAGCACAGAGCTCTTTTTTATTACTTTGTTGAAGCGGAAATAGATCCAGCATCAAAGCCTTTGGTTCTCTGGTTGAATGGAGGTTTGCAGCTACTCAACTTGCTTCATATTTAAGGCCACATAAATGAATCAAATGACAAATGATTGATGTTCGGAAAGAAAATTCAGTTACGTTCTTCGATTTGAAAATTTGAGTTGCCATTGATGTTCCATATCTGTATTTTGTAGGGCCTGGATGTTCTTCTCTGGGAGTAGGGGCATTCTCTGAAAATGGACCTTTCAGACCAAATGGGAGAATTCTGATCAGAAATGAGCATAGCTGGAATAGAGGTACCAACAGTCTCTGTGTTTTTCTCTTTCTCGAAAATGTAAACTGTAACATGATTATAGAGTACAGGAAATTTTCATGCCCAAATGTATTGCAGAAGCAAATATGTTGTATCTGGAGACACCAGTGGGTGTGGGGTTCTCTTATGCTACAGATAATTCCTCCTATGTGGCAGTAGATGATGAGGCAACAGGTAAGATCATCAACTTCAAAACATCATTCTCATTCCTTTCGTTGAGTGGCACAAATCAATGTGATGCTGGACTCACTGTGACAGAAGCTTTATAGCCAAATTGTAGCCCACTATCACTCTTTAAACATAAAAAGCATAAAGCT